TTCCATAAGTAAATGTGAATTAAACTGAACTCCTGGGGAGGGATTTGCATTTCTTCCTTTTGTCCACGATGTCCTTTCCCTCCTCTACCAGCTAATATTCTGTTTATCCTTCTAGGTCTAGCTCAAAGAAGCCCTCCCTTACTCCCTCTTTCCAGTGTAGCCTTTTCCTTGCATAGTTTAATTCCCTGTGAAGATATTGCCTCCCCTGACAGATTCAATGCCCTATAGAGCAGGATCCACATGGGTTGTGCTGGGTTGTATGTTTGCCTTTCCACATCCACTCTCCATTGTTCTCCACCTTGTTGTTAGTTCTGGGAGGGTGACCTAGTTCTGCAAGACCCAAGGCTTCTATGCCCACTGGCTTCAAGGCGAGCTTGGTCAGTGAGAGCCCTGAGAGAGACCAGAGGGAGGACAAAGAGTGGCTTGGGGGTGCTTGGGGGTGCACCCTGCAGCTCTCTTTCTGCGGGGTGCCTTGGGCTGGCCTCTCTCCTGACCTATTGTCACAGTTGTAAGGTGACACTCTGTATTCAGCTCTCTCTGCCTCTGGTTCTAGAAACTGTGCAACACCCAAAATGGAACTTTGTAGCATAGAGCTCAATAAACAGCTGTTGAGCTAAATTAGGGGCAGGTGTATTTGTTTGTTTGCTTGAGTGAGTGAGTGAGTGAGAAGCAGGAGAAAAGGATTTAAATGATCTTGAGAACTAGGGCCAGATGGCAAATAAGCCCCAAGATTCCTGGCAGACTGTTTTTATTTATTTTTTTGTTTGAATGATCTTTAAAAAATTTTTTTTTGAAATCTTCCTCACTTAGCGTTCGGTAAATTTGACTCCTTAAAATTTTGCTGTATGAATGTATGAATTTTAATCCATGTACAGATTTGTGTAACTCCCACCACAACTAGAATACAGAACGGCTCCAGGGAACCTGGGGTAGTTCAGTCAGTTGGGCATCCAACTCTGGATCTCAGCTTAGGTCTTGATCTCAGGGTTGTGAGTTCAAACCTCACGTTGGGCTCCATGCTGGGTATGGAGCCTACTTAAAAATAACAATAATAAAAGAAAGGAAAGGGATCCCTGGGTGGCGCAGCGGTTTGGCGCCTGCCTTTGGCCCAGGGCGCGATCCTGGAGACCCGGGATCGAATCCCACATCGGGCTCCCGGTGCATGGAGCCTGCTTCTCCCTCTGCCTGTGTCTCTGCCTCTCTCTCTTTCTCTGTGACTATCATAAATAAATAAAAATTTAAAAAAAATTTTTAAAAAAAAAATTAAAAAAAAAAATAAAAGAAAGGAAAAAAAGAATACAGAATAGTTTTACCACCCTCAAAACTCCCCCAAACCATCACTTTGTAGTGAAACTACCGCTCTGTTTTCCATCCCTACATCTTTGTCTTTTTCAAAATGCGGTATAAAGGAATCAAACAGTAGGGAACCTTTTGAGACTTGCTTCTCTCACTCAACATAATGTCTTTGCCATTTACTGGAACTCTTACATGCAGCAATAGTTTGTTCCTGTTTATTATTGAGTAGTATTCCAGTGTACGAATGTACCAGGTTATTTATCCATTCACATTATCATTGGGTTGTTTCCAGTTTTTGATTACTAATAGAACTGGTCTCACTATCCAGGTATAGGTTATTGTGTGAACACAGGTCTTCATTTCCCTTGGATACTGTTATGGACTGAATGCGTATCCCACACCCCTCCATTCATATAGTGAAGCCCCAACCCTCAATGCAACTGCCTTGGAGATAGTGCTTTTATGGAAGTCATTAGGGTGAAATGAGGTCCTAAGGGTGGAGCCCAAATCTTGATGAACTAGTGTTCTTATAAGAAGAGAAAGGGACTCCAGGGCTTTCTCTCTTTGTGAACACAGAGGAGAGGCCATACACATGAGGATACATCAGGAGGGTGGCCATCTGAAAGTTGGGAAGAGACCTCACACCAGAAGCCACATTTGCCAACACCTTGATCATGGACTGAGCCTCTGGAGCTGTGAGAAGATGTCTATTATTTAAACCACCCAGTTTGTGATCTTTTGTTGTGGCAGCTTGAGCAGATTAATACAATGAAATAGTTCTATGCTAAGTGTATGTTTAATTTTGCAAGAAGCTGCCAAGCTGATTTCTCGAGTGGCTGTACCATTTTGCATTCCTCTAGCCTCATATGAGAGTTCCAGTCACTCTGCAACCTTGTCAACATATGGTACTGTTGGGAGTTTTTATTGCTGTTGATTTTTTTTTTTATGTGCTATGTTTTGTAGGTTGTAAAAGCTAAGGAAGCAATTTGAAGCTGAAAATATTTTGGAAGTACCCTACTGAGGTATCATCCATCTTTGGAGTCATCCATACCCCATTTCTCTGTTCTTATCTTTCTTTTAGCCTCATTCTATCCCTAGGGTGATTCCCTGCCCCCCCCCCCAGGCAGAACCAGTTAGTGATTGGCACATTACAGTCCTCATTAGAGGTGAACCCATTTCTGAGAATGTTGAGGAAGAGGGTAAGTATGTGCAGGGCTGGCCTCAGGAGCCCCGTGCATCATTTAAATTTCTGCTGTCACCATCTTGAAATTTTTAGCAATTTTTAAAAAATATTTTATTTATTTAAGAGAGAGAGGAGGGGGAGAGAGTACAAGTAGCGGGGAGGAGGAGGGACAGAGGGAGAAGCAGTTTCCCCGCTGGGCAGTTTCCCCAACACCTGGGACCCTGGGATCATGATCTGAGCTGGAGGCAGATGCTCAACTGACTGAGCCACCCAGGTATTCCTTAATAATTTTGAACAAGGGATCCACATTTTAACTTTGCACTGAGCCTCCACAAATTATGTAACCTGTCCAGGGTGTACGAGGTCACAGGCAGGGCAAGGCTTCTCACTAAGTTATTTAGCAAAAAGCCCTCATGTGGTCCTTACTGACCACAGCTCTAGACAAACCCAAGTGCAACCTGAGGGTTATACCTGGCTCCTGGGCACTCTCGGAGCCTGTCTTTTGTGCTGAGCTGGGTTAAGCATGATTAATTTGGAGGCTTCACAAGAGGATTGTTGCTCTAGGATCCCAGTATCTAAATGAGGATTTGCCTTAATTAGGGCCTCTTACTTGGAAGGCAAATGGAAGCTCCATCTTCCATCCTGACACCCCCAAAGTACTTTTGTACTTTGGCTTTTACATGGAGAGATAAATCAGCAGCACCATAATGTCTTCTAATTGTCTCTCTGCCAGCCCAGTTGGCAAGAAGCTCATTCAAAGAAAGGTGATTTATGGGCAGTTTTACCACATTTAAGCAGATCACTGAAAGCCCAGGTCCAAGAGGATGAAAGGTATTAGCCAGAGGCACTGGGGGGCAAAGGGTGGGAGGGAGCAGGGAGTGGGGTCATCACAGGCTTTGGAGGCAGCATCCTGAACTGGCTGCTAAGCAGGTGCATGACCTTAAGGCAACTGACCCAACCACTCTGGACTAAATTATTTCAACTCTAAAGTGGAATTAATAATACTACCCCACAGGAAAATTGGATCATAAGGAGTCCACAAGAAGACTCTGTAATGTGTCTGAGGCTCTTATGCATCCGCCCTCCGTAAGTGCACCGGGACTGATGTCACTTTTGAGTGCTCTGCACATACCTGGGAAAGAATAAATTTTGTACTTCTCTGAAAAGCCACTTCACAGACCTGCTTGATCTTCTTTCCAGCTTCCTAGGAGCTGGGTCAGGATTATCAGACTCCTTTTGTTTTATTTTATCCAAGATTTGATTATTTATTTGAGAGAGACAGCATGGTGGAAGGGGCAGAGGGAGAGGGAGAGAGGATTCTCAAGTGGACTACCCACTGAGCAGGGAGCCCAATATGGGGCTCCATCCTGGGACATGAGATCATGATCTGAGCCAAAATCAAGAGTCAGATGCTTAACCAACTGAGCACCAGCCAAAATCAAGAGTCAGATGCTAACCAACTGAGCCACACAGTCCCATCATGGCCTGTGTCTCCTCATATCAAAAGGTACCACTAATCGGGCTCCTTTTAGATTTAGGAAAAGCAAAGATCGGTGGTCAGAAAATAAACCAAGAGTACTATAGAGTGCTGGAGTGGCTTACTTCAGTTCCATACCTTTCCAAACTGTGTGGGCTTCACTCAAGAGGCATTTACATTTGAGATCATTCACTCACAACTCCAAAAACCTTTACCTGTGTGTCCTAGATTAAAAGAGCAATGACAAGCTTACCAAATGGATGACCTCTAGGACAGTGTGTGAAGATGGTCTGATGGGCTCTTTCAAATAGATATAATTAGCATTGTGATGGAGGGACTGGAATCCCAGATGACCTGGATTCAAATTCCGCTCTGGTTGTTAGTGACTGCCTTCCATAAATTACTCACCATCTCTGTGTCTCAGTGGCACCATCTGCTAAATGATGTTTAAATAACATCAAATAACATAATCGGCCTTGGAGAGTTGTTGTAGGGACTAAAGAAGATAATGAATGTAAACTTTGCTTGGCACAGAGTAGCACGCTATACTTGCTAGTTCTTTTCATTACATGTTTGGGTATCCCCTGGAGTCCACGGTCTTAGGACTCCCTATTCTTCAACTATGGGTGGAGTTGGCATTCTAAGGTAGGGGATGGTCTCCAAGTGGGAGGTCTGTGAGTTCTGGAACTGAATGTGACTCTGGGACAGGGAATGAGGCCATAGCTAGTTGCATAGTAACTTTGTGTATGGAGAGACAGGCTACTGTTTACAGGTAACTAGGTGAGGAGTTATAATCTGTAAAGAAGTTAAAGGTTAAATGAAGGGAATTCTGGTGAGATGAATGGGACCTGGTGCACTGAACTACCTGCTGGGTTGTCAGGAAGGACAGCCTTCGGGACCCTGCCCCCCTCATGGATGAGGGTCAGAGTTTTATTATGCAGATTAGACTTGGCGTTTCCCGTGACCATAGAAACCCAACCAGTTCTCTTTCAACAGTGCTCTGAGGAAGGGTTATTTAAATCTGGCACTGTAGGAGTAGCTGCAGCGCAGACCCTCCTCAGAACAGCCCAGAACTCTGGGCCCTCTGCTCCCAAAGTGAGATGGGATGCCACACAAGCAAGAGCAACAAGGTGGTGGGGGAATCCCAGAAACCTGGAGAACAGCCCGAGGGAGAAGAGCCAAATCTGGAGGCTGGCGCTGAGGCAGCAGATGGCAAAGACATCTCATCGAAGGATGGGGGCCCTGCACTCAAGAGCTGAGGTGTTTTCCTCTCGAGTCGGTCCGGACCCTCTCTTCATTCTTGGAACTGTCTTTGGCCTATGAAACCTGAGACAAACCCAGTCCTGAGAAGCTCCGAATACAAGGAGGAGAGAGAAATCTCTGCCTTCAGCAGGTTCCCTCCTCAGGCTTTGCTCTTTGGAGCTATGAGGAATCCTATTCTCCCTGGCTGTCTATGGAGAGGACAAAAGAAGTCTTCATGTGTCGTGGGACTTGTCCACAGCTTCTGCAGACGGGCAAGCCAGAATGTTCTGTAGCCATGTGCTACTGAGCTGTGACTGTCCAGGGACCCCCAGCTGCCTCACCTTCCGAACTCTCCTAAATGTCCACAGGGCTGTGTGGGGGTCGGTTTGCTCTCTTTCTCTCCTTTCTCTTCAAGAGCTGGCCCAAGAGCCAACATCCCCAGCAGGGTCGTTTTTGTTTGGCTGGCTCCACACGGTTGGTGATGAATAATTTAATATTTAACTGGGAGAATTGTCTGTGAATTATGGGAACAATCAGGATCGGGCTGTGAAGAGAGTGACTAGGAGGCAGCAGGCCTGGTCATCCTGGAAGTGGAGCCCGGAGCACTGGTGTGAAGGAGGAGGGGGCATATTCCTGGTTTTTAAGCCCCCAGACAAATGCCCCTCTGCTGACACCCCTGTGTCTCCTCATATCAAAAGTCTGTCAATTTGGACTCTATAGCATCTGAGCTATCTGAATCCAGCCCTCAGAAATATTTCGCTGTTTACTAACATGCCTGTCAGCCTTTCTTCCTCACCCGCTCCCCCACCACCAATCCTGCGTGTGTTTTGTTTTTAATTCGAAAGCGTTTTAATTGGAAATCAAATGGACATGTTTGCAAATAAATGATGACAGACACATGTGAAAGACAGGCCTGCGGATGTGAGAAGAGAGGGCCAGCCAGAAGGGGTGGGTGTAACTCTGTGGAACAGAAGTGAGAAAAGAAGCTCTAGAATCTTCTCTTTGTGCCAGGCACCACGCCGACGAGTTTACAGGGGTGCTTTATGGTAACTGGCACGGCCGCTCCCATTTTATAGATGAGACAACTGAGGCACCAAGAGGTTAAGTCGCTTGCCTGAGCTTGGCCATCTAGGACAGGGCAGAGCCCAGAGCCGAGGCCCCTCAGCGTGGCTCCCGAATTTATGCTGTTCATCACTGCCGAGTCCTGTTGGAAGTGGAGGTCTACCCTGTGAATACATGGAGATGCAAGTCCCATCACAGCCTGCACCTAGCAGGGGCCACTTCTCTTTCCTCATTTGGGTGTACCCACCTATGAAGAAGTAGGCAACTGGTCTGCTAGGTGTCTGTGCACTGCACATTTTGGGTGCCTTGAGGGACTGATGGAGAGGAGGAGACGGATGGAAGGGTGAGGAGGGATCGAGGGGGACAGAGAGAAAGAGAGGGAACAAGTGTGAGACCAAGCTATTGCAAATGACCCTTCTTTTTAGCCACAGAAACCTCAGAAACTGAACGAGATTCTTTGGGGATGACAAGGCAACCAGGCTAAAGAGAAGGAAGGAAGAGAAGCAAAGACATTCAGCCTGAAAATGGTTCCTTTTGCCTCAGCAGAGCCTGACATTTTCCAAAGACAGTGTAGGAGAGACGGGGCCTCGTCAGCTGGCCCAAGGCCCTGCTCTGTCCCTGGGGGTGGTAAACTTTCAGTGTGCCAGGAAACAGGCCTGGGCTTGCAGCTGGGGATCAGGAAGTTTGGGGCCTCTTTCTACAGCTTACTGGGGATAGGCCAAACTCGGGTAACTGCTTTCAAATTTTTTAAAAAGACAATTCTGTTTTTCTCCCTCCTAATGGAAATTCATCCTGCAAAACAGGGTTTGCCTGGGAAGAAGCTGCTCACAATGCACCCTCAGGACTCCTGGAGAATGTTCTCAGCTGCTGGTGATGCTTTGAGGCTGGGTGGTGCTCATCTCACCTGCTACTGAGAGGCAGGACTCAGATTCTGCTTCTTATCAAATCAAATGAAGGAAGGAGGCTCCAGGGCCTTAAACATTCAGACAGTAGGGTGGTTTGTTCTGTTTCTTTCAGGGATGGTGCAAAAATGCTCATTTGAGTAAATTCAAGATCTCTGAGGGCTTTTAAAAATAAGATTCTTTTATTCACTATCAGCTGTGACAGGCATCTGCATTTTGCCAGGAAGTTCATCTGATAATGGGAAAAAGTACCCAGTTTCTTTTAAAAGATATTCCATTTATTCCATGGGGACCGGGTACCACTTACCTGTCTCCCTCTGAGGCTCAAATGCCTGGTGAAGTGGTCAGAATTATGTCCACTTAAACATAACTTGAACCTTTTAAAAAACAGGTCTGCACAGACTCTGCCCATCACTTGAAAGCCATTGCTCTGGCCCATTTCCCAAACTACTAGAAGAGGAGGGCTTTGTTTACTAATCAACTTACCTATCTACATATTCTTCCACTTGTCCTTCCTTTTTTCCATCCATCCATCCATCCATCCCACTTCACTCACTCAATCTATCATCTATCTATCTATCTATCTATCTATCTATCTATCTATCTATTCAGCTCTTTCTTGGATTTTTCATTTATATGAGGCAATAAATTTGCCCATTCAAACCAAATTCATTTATTAAACAAATACTTAATTGAATTTCTACTTTTCTCTATTATTCATTCATTTCTTTCTTTATTCATTCATTAATTCAGCAGTTACTGGGTAGCTACCCTATGTCAAACTTCTTAGCACTAATAAAAAGTTGATGTGCATCTTTCTAGGAGCATAGTCTGGAACAGGGTGGTCCAGAGAAATCCTTCCAGCCCAGGTGAGGCCTGAGTTGAGGCTTCACACGTAAGGAGGAATTAGCTACAGAAAGAAGATGAGTGTTTTAGGAGAAAGGGAATGTCTGACCCAAGATAGGAAGCTGCATGGGGCATGATGTGTAGTGTTGTGGGAGCCTGAAGGGCATGCCACATAATAACAGGGAGGAGAAGCATGACAAGTAAAAAGGATCAGGTCTTGCAGGGCCTTGTATTTTATATCAAGAGACTGAGAGATCATCCCAATGCTGATGAAGAGTTCACCGAAGAAGAATAGTGCTAGAACATTGATTGACTGCTTGGATCCCACCCTCTGGTAACAAAGCCCATTTTCTCCCCTTGGAAGACCCTTTTCTTTCCACTCACAGTTTATATGATCCCATTCTCAGGCTCCAGGCTAAGTGCTGCTTGTACCTAGTCAAAGCAGTTTGTTCAAGGAAGATCATCCAGCCCAAACCAGTCCAGACTTTTGTTGAAGCAATTAGTGAAGAAGTGTCCACTTTCTTTTGGAGTTAGTAAAATTGTAGGATTTAAGTCTGGAATCTCTTAGTGGCATTCCCTACTAGGGAAGGCCTTGAGAATGAAACCATAGAAGAGATTCGGACTGAGAGAAGTGGAGACCTATTCCTGATGAACTTGTTTGGACAACTGGATCCAGCCATGCTAGAAGCTAATACTATCCCTGGATGATTAACACAAGCCAATATATTCTCACTTTTTTTTTTTATTACTGAGAGTGGTTTGAATTTGGTTTCTATCATTTTCAAAGAGTTCTGGGTATATCACATCAACTCAGATATGTATTTTATGTGAAGTAAATTGGTAGCTGTTTGAAAGAGGTGAGAGGGATAAGGCTGGAGGCAAGAATACAAATTAGAAGACAAATGCCCAAAATAATAAAGACATATTAGATAGCTGTTAGTATTTATTGCAATGTTGCAACCAGCCACAAAATCTCAGTGGCACACAAGCATAAACTTTCTCTTCTTTTGATCACATGTCTGTGGGTTACTGTGGCTCAGGTGATCAGGCTACATGAGGAGTGTTCACATGACAAGTACCAGGAGCACAAGAGACTGAGTCTAAGGAAGTATCCTTTTGCATGGAGGGTGGAGGAGTGAATGTTTGTTAAGCAATAATCCATTCTGACACAAATGAGATAGAGTGAAGAGGACAGATTCAAGAAATAGTTAGGAGGTAAAATCAACCAGTTTTGGTGATTGATTTTTCATTGGGGTTAAGGGAGAGAGAGGAGTCAAGGTTTCTACTCAGGTGGCAGGCTGATGATGGTGCCACAATATGAGAAGGGGACTCTGGGCAGAGGGATAGGTCTAGAGGGAGGATGAGGAGTTGACTGTTGGAACGGTTGAGTTTGATATGCTCATACAATGAAAATAATAACTTGATGACTGATTTAATTTAACATGGTGATCATTTCATGATATACACACATATCAAATCATTATGTTGTACATCTGAAACTAATAGAATGTTACATGTCAAGTATACCTCAATTAAAAAAATAGCAAACATTTATGTCACTCGTACTATGTCTGGGAATTGTTCCAAATGCTTTATTTGTAGGTCTTTTCCAATCCTCACAACCACCCTATTTTCACTTTACAGATTAAAGCCCAGGGAGTTAAATAATTTACCCCAGGTCTTTTAGCTCTCAAGGACAAAGCTAAAAACTGGCAGGTTGGCTAGCAGATGAGAATTTATTTGGGAGTTGTGGGAACCCTCTTGGACCTCCAGAGTTGGTATAAGATTCTTTAAAAGTGAAAACATTTGAGAGGCACCTGGGTGACTCAGTCTGCTAAGTGTATGACTCTTAGTTTCAGCTCAGGTCAAGATCTCAGGGGTCGTGAGATGAAGCCCTGTGTAAGGCTCCAAGCTCATCAAAGAGTCTGCTTAAAAATTCTCTCCTCTGCTCCTCTCCCCACTCTTTCTCTCAAATAAATAAATCTTAAATTTTTTAAAGTAAAAATGTTTGAACACATTTGATGCAGAAGATGCAAGAGAAATCTTTTTTATTTTTTATTTTTTAAGTAATCTCTACACTCAGTGTGGAGCTCAAACCCATGACCCCAAGATCAAGAGTCACATGCTTCACTGACTAAGCTCTACTACTAAGTTCTTATTTGAACTTCCATTATCACCTAAAGCATAGTCTTCTGAAAATACAGCTGCTATTAACTCCTCTCTTAGGGGGTTTCCTAAAAATTCATTTGCCAAGAAGGTAGATTGCCCATTCCCACTGGCATCAAAGAACCCAATAGACACTTCCATATTCTCCCACTGAAGACCTAAAAAGACCTTTTTAAAAAATTGGTATACAGGGGATCCCTGGTGGCTCAGCGGTTGAGCGCCTGCCTTCACCCCAGGACGTGATCCTGGGGTCCTAAGATCGAGTCCCACATCAGGCTTCCTGCATGGAGCCTGCATCTCCCTCTGCCTGTGTCTCTGCCCCACCCCCCCCGCCCCTCTGTGTGTCTCATGGATAAATAAATAAAATCTTTTAAAAAATTGCTATACATACACCTTTCTTTTGGGTAGCTCCATGAGTTTTCCATTACTGGGACCTCTTCTGCATGCACATGTGAAGATAAATCTTGTGTTTTCTTCTGTTAATCTGTATTTTTTCACTTAAATTTTCAGGCCCCCAACACTGGATCCAAGTT